ATTGCCACTGGGTAGCATAAGAGGTGATTGGTGCTACAATAGCAAAAAGACAAAGACTCTATTTTTATTCATTTATATTAGAATTTATATTTTCCCTTTCTAAAGTTGCATTCAGAACACTCAGAACAGCTTAACAAAGATAGAAACAATGAAAATAGACAATAGCACTCCATAAAGCAATATAAAGTAAAGTACATCCAGCCATCTCTATGAAAAGAAGCACATGGCACTAGGGAGGGGAGACACTGATTTTTGAGCTTGCCTAAATTCTTGCAAATCACTTCAAAGATCATTTGAGCTTGCTTTTTTTTTAATCTTTGAAGTTGGTTCAGCTTTTTGAAAAATGGAAAAGTACATGCTTCTCTGCATATTTTTCAATAGTGTGTAATTTCCCCCATTAACTAAGGCAGCAATTCTATAGCCTTTCAATATTGACATAGGATTTTTAGCTTCCCAGCACCAGCTTTGTTGGATCTCTCACTGAGAGTGCAAATGCACCTTGGAGAAGAGTAAAAGGGCATGCCAGGGGTAGAAAGGGGAAGAGCTCAGGTCATCTCCATACACAAATTCCTATTGGCAAAACAGCTTCCTTCCCTTCCCCTCTTCTCCCTGGTGCTTTGTTGTTGTTGTTAGTCGCGAAGTTATGTCCCCCCCATGGACAATATTCCTCCAGGCCTTCCTGTCCTCCACCATCCCCCAGAGTCCACTTAAGCTCACACCAACTGCTTCAGTGACTCCATCTAGCCACCTCATCCTCTGCCATCCCCTTCTTTTGCCATCTATTGTCCCCAGCATTCCCTGGTGCTTTATGGTGGCTAAATATGGCTGTCAATATAAAATGCAAGGGGTGAGTTGCAGTGCTGCCATGCCTTGCTCCAGTAATTGCATGCAGGTAATCTTTTGAGTCCAGAAGTTTAGGTGCACAATGGGTGGAGGCACTGGATTTCACCCTAAAGTGCAATGACGCAATTTTTTAAATGCACATTTTGAAGTGCACATTAAAATGACTCTTTTAAATGAAATTACAATTTTATGAATGTACAAACATTTCTTTAGAGAAAGTGTGTATCTTTTAATGTTTGGGAAGGTGAACAGGACGTGTTCACATGGTCTGCAACAGAAATGAAATTCTTGCACATCCCTATTTGGTTCACAGCGAACTGCAATCTATGTATTGATATTAGTATCTAAGCCTTCCACATCACTATGGTGCTTAGAATAAGAAAAGATATAGGCTACAGGGAGTGGAATAAGCAAATTATACTTTATATTAAATAATTATTGCAAATTGCCTTTCTGATATTATTCTGTGACAAATGCTGCTATTGTTACTGTAAATGCTGTTAATGTTATGTTGCTATGATACAACGCATAATGGGGCTTTTTCGGATTAACAAAATGAACTGCCTCCTGCTCCAAATAGTTTACAATCTAAATTATTTAATCTTGGTTGGGTGGAGAAAACAATTCTGTGTGTGTTTGAAAAATGTTCTTGATAAACCCTTCAACTATCGATATTAGGTATTCAGTATCCTTCTCTTTATTTAAAAATAGTCAGTAACATAGGCAGGAATGAAATTTAAGAGGGTGCTATTGCATTCCTGTCCAGCCTGTCAGTTTTGGCCGCTTCCACCTCTACTATGGTTTAAATATGCTCAGACTTAATACAGAATATGGTACAATAATATAATTTTATGCATATGCTGCTATAACTTTATACTCTTTTCTTCAGTGGCACTATACATACTAAATTGATGGAACGAGCCACAGAAGACTGTCCCAGACATCGTAGGACTTTGGGAGTTCTCTTCCTGAACTCCACACACTGCTGTGACCTTAAGAGGTGGATGCTTATTTCCAGTCTTCCTTTCTTGCTCCTTTGCAGTTACTGTAGAAAGCACCAGGCTAGCTGCTTCCTGAGGTCACACAGGCAACCTTAGATGTAGCAAAAATGGTATATTCCATTGGACAGGGAGGGGAGAGGGTGGATTGTGAGGCATACTGTGGCTTCTCTAACTTCAGCCTCCCCCTGCTAGTAGCATGAAGGGTTCAGAAGCCCATCTAGTGGTCAACAAGAGAAGGATGGAAAGGTGATAAATGTCTCCATTGGTCCTACTGCCCTGCCGGAAGAAACCAAGCAGGACATCAGATACCCAGAAACCTGAAAGTCTGAAGGCTTCTTTCTACAGAAAGTGCAGTCTTTAGGTCTCCTTTCCTTACCATGGATTCAAAGTGGCATGGGAGGTTCCATGCAGACTTCTGATCTAGGAGTTGTGGTTAGTATAGGGACAGCAGAAGCAAATTTCATTTTATTCTTGAAGCCATGGCAGTGCTATAAGTCAGCTATATGCTTACATGCACAAAGTATTTTTTTTCTCTCTTGTCTTTGTCAGGTTTGGCAAACAGAATTCATAGAATCATAGAATAGTAGAGGGGGAAGAAGCCAAAAAAGCCATCAGGTCCAACCCCCTACTGGTGCAGGACATCAAGTTACACCATCCAACTCATATGTCTTTCCCGTTTTATGTTGAATGCCTCTAGAGTGCCTCTGAGAGCCTATGACCTCAGTAGGCGACTGGTTCCACTGTCATACTGCTCTGACAGTTAGGAATTTTTTCCTCTTATATCTAGCCTGAATCTGGTTTGTTGCAACTTGAGTTGATTGGTCCACATCCTATACTCTGGAATGAGTAAGAAGAGAGTTTGTCCTTTCTCTCCATGACAGCCTTTCAGGTATTTGTAGAGTGCTATCATATCCCCCCTCAGTCTTCTCTTCTCAAGGCTGAACATGCCCAGTTCTCTCAGACTCTCCTCATGAAGCTTTCTTTCCAGACCTTGGATCATCTTTGTTGCCCTCCACTGAACCCTTTCCAATTTTTCTCTATCTTTCTTAAACTTTTGTGTCCAGAACTGGACACAATAATGTAGATAAGGTCTGACTGGTGCCAGGTATAGGGGAACTAGCACTTCTTGTAATTTGGAAGTGATACTTTTATTACTACATCTCAAAATAGCATTTGCCCTTTTGGTGGCTACACTGAATTGTTGGCTCATATTTAGCTTGTTGTCCACAACTACTCCAAGGTCTTTCTTTTTTTGCAGTACTGCTGAGCCAAGTATTCCCCATCTTGTATCAATGCATTTGGTTTCTTTTTTCCTAGGTGGATTACTTGACATTTGTTCCTATTGAATTCCATTCTGTTGCTTTCAGCCCAGTATTCCAGCTTACCTAGATCACCCTGGATCTTCTTTCTGTCTTCCAGGGTGTTGGCTATTCCACCCGGTTTTGTGTCATCTGCAAATCTGACTATTGTTCCCCATTAATAAAGATGTTGAAGAGCACTGAGCCCATGACTGAATCCTGTGGCTCCTCACTTATTACCTCTCTCCAGTTTGAGAAGGTACCATTGATGAGCAATCTTTAAGTCCAATTTTGTAGCCAGTTGTGGATACACCTAACAGTTGTTTTATGTAGTCCACTTTTTGTTAGATTGCTTATCAGGATGTCATGGGGCACTATGCTGAAACCTTTGCTAAAGTCAAGATAGCTTATGTCCACAGTATTTCCGCAGTCCATTTGGGAGGTTATCCAGTAAAAAAATTGATTATATTAATCTGGAAGGATTTATTCCTGAGAAATCTGTGTTGGCTTCTGACAATCACTGTGTACTTCAAAGTACTTACAGACTGATTTTTAATTTTTTTTTCAGGGATTGATGTCTGACTGAGTGATCTATAGTTCTCAGGTTCATCTTTTCCCTCCCTTTCTTTAAGATGGGGACATCATCAGCCCTTCTCCAGTTCTCCTGCACTTCCCCTGTTTCCCAAGGCTTCTCGAAAACAATAAACAGTGGTTCTGAAAGTTCTTCCATTAGCTATTTTATGACTCTAGAATGGAGCTTGCTGGGCCCTTAGATTTGAACTCATCTAGCTGATCTAGATGTTTTTTGACCTCTTGTCTGTCAATCTTGGTCTTCCATCCCCCACTTTCAGCTTGTACTTCCCCGTCAGTAGGTAGGTAGGTAGGTAAGTTGTAGGCCTTGTGGAAGCATACTGAAGCAAAGTAGTAGTTGAGCACCTCTGCCATTTCCTTGTTTGTTATTGATTTGCCATCCACTCTGAGTAGCTGAATCCCTTTTCTTTCATTCTGTCTTTTGTTATGGATATATTTGAAGAAGGCTTTCTTGTTGCTTTTAGTATCCCTTGCAAGTCTCATTTCATTTCCTGCTTTAGTCTTCCTGACATCATCCCTGCAATTGCCTGCTAACTTTTTATATTCTTCCTTTGTGGCCTGGCCTTCCTTCCACCTCCTGTATGTGCCCTTTTTTGCTTTCAGATTGTCTCTTAACTTTTGTGGAGTCACATGGGTTTCCTCTGTTATATTCTACACTTTTTTCTTGTTGGGAATGAATTTTCCCTGTGCAATACACCATCATGGATAAAGGCCAAAGAAGCAATAAATGGCAAGGGATAGTTGTTTATTTCACTGACATTATCATACCCTGGCACCCTGCCTTCAGCCTAGCCTAAATACTCCTAGGAATTTTAGTTTCACACTGTTTTAAATTCTGTATTGTATTTTAAATCTTTGTACTGCTGCTAGTTTTCACATTTATTTTATAGTGCTGTTTTAACTATTTAATTTTTTCATACTGTATTCTATGTTTTAAAACATTTTAAATCACTGATCTGCCCAAAGAGCTTCAGCTATTGGGCAGAATAAGAATGCAGTTGATTGATTGATTGATCAATTGATACTTATTGGAAAGGGCTATGGAGAAGGTTAAACTACTCCTGGCAACTGCCCGCAACTTCCTAAGGTGGCTTCACATTATAATACTTCGAGCTTCACAAGAAAACCGATATTTAAAGTTATGTTTATACAAAATTTCTAATGGCTTATTTTGCCTCATTAACTTTTATGTCATTAGGTTTACAGCTAAATAATTCCAAAGTAAGAATGTAGAGAATATCACTAAGTTTCCTTTCTCATTTCACAGCAAAGAAGAAATATTGGCAATGGCTGATGAAGACATATGGAATACTTCAAGGACTTCAGGTATAAAACCTATTCAATTAGTTCTTCCTTGCTGCACATGTTAATTAAAAAAAAGTAACAAAACATCCTGCTGAATATTATTCAAGAATTTTTGTTAACTCTTCAGGGTCAGACATTCCCCAAATCCTTTATTCACATGTGGATGATAATGAAACTGAACAAAGGAAAGAAAAGGTAGATGCTAAAAATGTGGGACATAATGAAGATGATAATGAAAATGAAAAAGAATTAGAGCTGCTGGTAAGTGTCTTGTATTTATATAAACTGTTAGATGATATAACACGTTTATTCCCCAAAGAGAGTAAGATCTTTCCTAACTCAGTATTGCTGGTAGGTATGCTAAGTAATCTGGCAATGCTACACCAACATCAGAGTTTTAATAGCATCCCTAGCACAATGCGTAAGACACTTTGATTCAGTCTAATTTAAAATCATTAATTTAATAACTTATCTCTTTTCTTTCTTTTGTTTTATCACAGGCAATAAGTGACAATTTGAAAACCTTAGAAGAATAATATTTCAAAGTCCTGTCTTTCTGGTCTCTGTGATCAGTATTCACTTATGTATACATATTTTTGTTCAGTTTTTGTATTTGTTCTACATTTAGGGTGCCTTATGACTGGGATAACTGTTTGCCCTGTGATGGCTGCTTGTAAGCTCATCAAAGAGCAACAAAAATTATGTGAGACATTAATTATTGTACAATGTGGCCACTGAGTTAGGTGACTTTTACCATGCACCACTATTCTACTTCATTAATTAGTTATGAGAACTTCCTCTTTTCTCCCTGTCCAGCAGTTTGGGGTCTAAAGAACAACAATGGCAGGTAGAATCTTATGATCCTCTTTAAGCTAAATGTTTTCCTTTGGATATGGACCATGAATATTACCTGCCAGGTGTAAAACATACATTTCCATCACTTAGCAATCCACAAAGACTTTACAAATCAGTTTTGGGTACAATCATATCCAAGTTTAGTCAAGAAAAGGCCTATACGTCCCAGCATGTCCCAATCAATATAAAGGATAAGGCATGTATTTATTTATTTAAAATATTTATATCTGTTTGCTATCCATGATCTCAAAATGGTTCATTCACAAATAAGATCAACATTGTATTGACTACCTAGGCAAAATATTTAAAATCCGAGGCAATAGTATCCAGTATTTAGTGATTGGCAAATGTTGAAGAAAATCTACATCTATTTAATAGGCATACAACTGCTGGTGCTTTCTAAACAACAGGGGGAGAGCATTCCAGAAGGTAGGTGCCATAGAAAGGACATTTTGCTGGGCTGCTAGAGGATAAACTACAGAGAACAGAGCCAGAGTAACAGGGCTTACTCTCTGGAAATTTAAGTGCTTATGGGCTTATTTATATATTACTACTATGAATATTAATTTTAGCCTAAATGCCCTCTATGGTGAGTATCTATTCTGTGTGCATTTTACAAAAAGGGGTTACCTTGCATTTCATGGGAAGACACAGCAGTTACTTGGAGCTCGTACATTTGTGTACATAGTACATAAATAATTACAGAGTATAATGCTCCTTACTTGTAGATACATGGAAGTTGTGGACATAGGAGGGGATATATGTCTAACATGAGCACCAAAATGCACTTTTGGATAGTGAGAAACAGAATGGGTTCTTTTACACAGATTCACAAAACCTCCCTAGCTTTAACTTTAGGAAAGTTCAAAGTTGTCACCCATTGAGGAAGCTTTCACTACCTGAATAATCAGCATCTCTCAGTATTATTGTTAAGAAAGGGTGAGCAAGAAGATGCTATAAAAAGTGCAGGAAACATTCAGTGTCCCTCAATATTAGTAGATTCAAATTTAATAGTTTTTAAAAATCAAAGTGGTCATCTGTACAATAAATGAGAATTGTATATATGTGTGTCATTCAGTTTTTAATTTACCTTATGTGCTATGTAATGAATTAAACAATGGAGGGCTATAATAAATGGAAATTCAACCAAATCTTTGAAACCCATAGGCAATGGCTCACAAGACAGCTCGGCAGTTGACAAGTAACATGAGCCTTATGTGAGAAGAAGGGGGAAATCGTAAGATTTGCATATAATTATTGAGATCATGCAAATGTCAGTTATGAGGAGGGAGAAAGAGGGGGAAAAAACAGGCATCTCAGTTTTAATTCCTGACAGTTGGCATCACTGAAGAGCTCAGATACATTTGAGCACCAGTTGGCAGAGGGTCATTAAAACAGAATTTGCAGAAACATTAGTTCCTTCACTTTTCTTTGAGTGACGTTTTACTATTAATAGTTTTCAGGGGCTTTGCAGAAAACATATTAATAAGAGACACTGTAATGGGGGTATCTGCAGCAAGTAGTAAGAGGTGCCCAAGAAGCTATCCTCTAATTGATTGGTATGGAACCATCAGTCTCAGTATTCGAAAGCAAGGCAAGAATGCCATGACAAGCAAATGCAGTTGAAGGATATAATTAAATATTTGGGAGAGAAGGAAGAAACTTATTCATTTCCGGCCTTGGCTTTGCTAACACACTTTGCACTTTCTAAGAGACTCTGAAACATTCCGATCTGGAGCCTATAAAAGGTCCTGAGAGGAATGAAGCAAAGATAATCCTTATAGTATTTGTCAGTGTGCAAATGTGTCTTTATTTTACTGGACAATGCCGTACATTCTATAGCTTTGATGTACTGTGTCAATGCACTCACTTTAAAATAAAACATGCCTCGAATGGAATGTGCCCTGTGAATGAATTAGCTCCCCTTGTAGAGACTATTCTCTTTAGGATTCGTTTGTATGAAATGGACTGAGCCCATGAATAAAGAGGGTGCTATGTGGTTGGGGGATATGAGAAAGATGGAGGAATAAATGGTATTTTTTCTTGCTTTTTATGCATACTTCTAATGCCCTTTATGAAACTTCCTTCTTTTTTTAAGCAACATAAATTTTGGAGATGGTTTGGAAAAGTGTTTTCCTAAAATCTTTTTTACGAAAAACAAAACTTTCTGTAGTTAAATCCTCCCTCATAGATAAATGCATGTACACACACAAACAAATAATCTGACCATTCTTTGTGATTCTGTTGTTTCAGCTAAGTCATCACTTCAGTAGAACTGGAGGTTCTTCCAGGGATGAAAGGAGTTTATACACAGCTGAGCCGGTTAGATTTCCAAATGATCCACAAGAATTTGGGGACAAGCTAGACTCTGGCCTGCTTAGGCAACCTCTGCCTCTAAGCTCTTCATCTGAACATGCTTTGCAAGACAAAGAACTGCACAGTAAGAGTGAACTGCTCTCTTCCGTAGGAGCTGATAATAGTCAGTCATCCTCAGAAAAAGTTATTGCAGTGGACTCTGTAAAAAATAGCACACAGTCTTCAGAGTTTTTTAACACAATTGAAACACCTTTATCACCAGAGTACTGGCCTGGAACAGAAAAAAATGAGACTATCTATATTGCAGAGGTTATCTCAAGCAATAATGGAATGTTTTCTGCAAATGTTCAAAAAGATGAACCCCAGAATGCTCCAGAAAGTAAAACAATGGAAAGTTTGTTCATCAATGTGGATGATGATGACTGCAAAAAGGTTTGGAAGACAAGGCCCCAAAGAGTTCCCTTAGAGCATGGAGAAGAAGAAATCCAGTTAAGAGGAAAATTACTGGAAGGTATGGATGACGTTGCTGAGCCTGTTCAGGGAAGATGTATGCAGGAACCATCTTGCCAAATTCATGAGTCCATTTTAGAAAGCACTGTAGGAAATGAATCTAAAGGGGAGAGTGAAAATCAGGAACATGTAAAAAGAATGTTAAATACAAACACCTTACCTGATGTTGGTGTCACAGTAAGTTCTTTCAGATGTTCTCCTGAAGAAGATGATACTGTAAAAGAAAAATTTAAGACTGAGTATAATGTTGATAAAGGGAAAGAAATTATGTTAAGCCTTTTAGAATCATCTCCAGAAGAGAAGCAAGTCTACTCCACCCACGGGCATGAAAAACACATTACACTAGACAAGGATGAAGCCAGTACAGTACTTGAGTTACCCCAAGAAGCAGAAGTGACTATTTTCAGTGTGGTAGATGAAAAAAAGGATGAGAAAATTCATCAATCAACAGAGTTACCACATCTACAAGAGAGAGGAAGCTCAAGCAAAACTAGTAACATTGAAGAAAGCAAAGGTCCAGTTGTAGGTGAATTAAGTCTAGATTTGAAGAGAACAGAAAGTAGATATCAAGAAGCAATTCAGAATACAGGCAGGTGTTCTATAACACCTGCTGACGAAAGGAGCTCTATACATTCTGCATCCATAAATCTAGAGGAGGTATTTGATACTAGTGGGAATTTAGACGAAAGGAAGTACAATCAGAGCTATGGCCCAGGAAACAGAAATATTTTGGAGTCAGAGCCATGCCAAAGTGAAACTGACAGAATTATTACTGATGATCAGAGCAGTCAGGTCATGAGGGAAAATCAAAGTTGGAGTGCCTCAGAAAGTCAACTGGCAGAAAGAGAAAGTGAAAAAAATAAAAGAACACAGATGAAAGAACGATCAGGTGACGAAACCATGTGGGGAATTAGAGATAATACAATATGTCTGAATGTAACTCCCGCAGATGAATTGTTTACCTGCCAAGACCCAGGGAGAGATGAAGAATCTGCAGTAGCTAAGCATGATAGTACAGGGGAAGCAGAGGCAGTTACAGCCGCTTATATAATTAAAATGACATCAGAAAGTACTCCAGAAAAAATATCTGCTGGTGAAAAAGCAGTAATTGTTAAGCTACCTCAAGAGACTGCACTAAGTGACAGGCCCACAGAGGAAAAAGAAACAGTGTTTGATATACATGAAGGGAGAAATGATGGTTCACATTATCCTCTTTGTCAATGCAATACAGTGGGTGTATTATATGACACCAAATTTGAAAAGGAATCAGTTTTAGATATTTGTAAAGCACGAGTACATGAAACGATGCAAGGAGAAATGATTTCAGTATGCAATACAAGTGAAATGCTTGCTAGAGCAGAACATAACACTGGAAATGATTCACCATTGGGTGAAATATTATGGACTTCTACAGAAGGAAAAGCTGCTTCTGAGCAGGATTTATATTTGGAAACATCTCTGAAAGGTTCACAGCATCTTTTGCAAGGTCTGTACAACGAAGAGGCTGAAGAGGGAAGCACCTGGAAATCTCCCCATGTAGCTGCTAAAACTGAGAACAAAAATTCTCCTTCTGATCTAAAAAGATTTCCTGAACATTCTTCTTTAACATTTTGTGAAGACTCCATGGGAGCTAATACCAGTGAGGGAAGGGAAGCATTGCATCCATTCATGGATATGTCAGGTGAAATTGTAGCTGAATCAAGATGCAACTTCAGTGCAATGAATGATACAGGTCATGTTATTTCAAGTACTTCTTCAGAGGATGAACTCCCTTCTAGTGAAAAAGGAGAAAGAAGCATTGATCAGGTTCCCCATCAACCAGAGTTTGAACAAGGAAAGCTACTAGGGCCAACCATTTTAATTAGTGAGCCTACTGAAGAAAGAGAAAAGACAAGATTAGAATCTGAAGGCTTACTAATGGAAGAAAAATGGAATAGTGAAGAGCATGAAAACCAGCCTGTTTCTGATCACACAGATGTTTCTGACCAGCAAAGAGAAGCTTTTAATTTGCCTTCTGAGTGTCTTGTTTTAAAGCATATTGGTTACAAAACTCTTTATTTCCTTTTCTTTGTTGTGTTTTGTGTAACATTGTACCACTATGATTTGATTGTTTGCTTTGCACTCTACTTATTTTCCTTGTATTGGCTATATTGCAAGGACACGAGAAGCAAATAATTGGTTAAAAATGAGTAAAGGGTCCTGTAGTCTAGATATTGTACTTAATATCTATTATCAGTATATCCCAAAGAGCTACAACATCTACTCTTAGAATCAGTCAAGATTCCCTCCTTCCCTTGAAACATTGCTTAAAACTTAAAGGAAAACACATGGTTTGCTCCTTCATATAAATAATTATTCTGCATAGGACCATTATGTTTGGATCATTAAATGCCTATATGAATATGAGTTCTGAAGCACATCAAGATAAAATTAAATACAGCTGCTGCTCCTTATCAGTTATCAAGAAGTGAAGCTTCACTTTCTTCAGATTTTATTGCATTCATTTGTTTTCTAGTGTAGTTTCATTTTCTGAGAGTTTTTAAAATGGTTTTATATAGCAAATGAATGAAGAGGGAATGGCATTATGACACAGAGCTTTCCTACATGAGACTGTTAATCAGCTGTGCCTACTTTTGGTTTCATTGCAGATTTGAAATCTTAGCACTATACAAACAGCATTTCCTTTCCTGCTCCGTAACCTCTAGGTGGCACTGTGATATAGCAAAATAATGCAGATATACAAACATACAAAAGCAGATTCTTTTGCCTTTAACAATTGAATACAGTATTATCTCTGCTCTAAAAAAATTACCAAAATTGCTCTGTAGATACAGGAGTAGCATTGGAAGATCACAAGGTCATGTAAAGACCAATAAATGCCTCCTGTATAAAAAGCCTAACTTGCTAATGGGGCATGCCCATGCAGGAGTTTTATGCCCTGTTTATTTGGCACATTTAGTCATTAAAAAGGAAGGCTGAAAAGTAGCTGACCTACCATATTTTTTGCCTAGGAATTTTGCACACAATTCCTCTGTGTGGATGATGCACCTGTGGTCACCTCACAATTCTAATACAGTTTCTATTTGGTTTGAGAAAACTGGTGAACTGAATTAGAGACCTCCTTCCCTTTCTGACAATTGCGCATGATCCTCTGTGAAGCTGGTCCTTGCATGTACCACTGAAATGAATGGGAGTTGTAAAAGAGTAGAAAGATGATGCCCCATGTGTTGAATGATCTACTTACATTAAATGAAATATTTTGGTAGGAAAACTCAGCTTGTGGGTCAATTTTTTAATGTACTAAGTTGTAAGAATAATATTAATGTCTGCATACTGTCAACAGTAGTTTTCAAACAAATAATAATTTAACTTTTTACATGTCAAAAAAGTGCCAAACAAAAGAATCAGGCTCTCAGCCACACCACAGAGATGATATGGACTGATATAGACTGAAGGATACAAATTGGAGCCTGGTTGTATCAGATCATGTTTATATTTTATTTCATTTGTAAACGAAGACTGTGCAACACAAGGAAAAAAATTCACTTAATTTTAACATTATTCCAGTTGGACTTTCTGAATGTTGTTGTTCTGACCATGTTGCTTAATAAAAGGCAATCCCAATGAGTATTGAATAACAATAATAAATGAAGTTTGGATGGTCTAATTGTGTGTGGAATACTTGGAAACCTCACAGGAAAAGAATGAATTCTAATAACTCTGCTGTTTTCTGCAGAGTAGCTTCAATTGATACTAGCAGTTCACATCTCTCTGCTGACAACTGGAGCTGATTTTTCAGAATCTCATCTCTCTCTTTTCAATCCCATTTCATGTGCCTTTGACCATGTAAAAGTATGCAGGAAGTCACCTGAGTTCAAATATCTAAGTGTGTACAGATCTCTTATTGCAGGTACTCTCTTTCCCTTGCCAGAAGGTCCCATTCTGGACAAGCAAAGATATTCATAGACTGATTGGCACCACCAATTGAGTTACAAGTGAAATCTGGGCATGTATCAGGGAGTTAAAGCACAGGGAGCAAATCCCCAGCTCATGGTGTTTCTCTGTAAAATATTCCAATGCTCTGAATAACAGACTGCTCTCCTTAAAGACCCAGCACTAGAATGGTGGAATTAAAAGCACTATCAAAGGTCATCTAATCTAACCCTCCCTCCATTAATACAGGAAATGCACTGCTACAACATCCTTGATAGGTGACTTTTCTGAGTAATCAATGCCTCTGCTCTTACCACTACATTATTCTATTTTGCAGAATAAGCTAATTCCTCCCTATTATTCATAACAAACCTTTGACATGAGTATTGCAGAAACATAAGTTGATATGACATGGCAGGAATAATACCATTAAAGAAGTGATATTTTTGGGAAAAAAATGTTCAATGTGTACCTTACATTTTAGTTGTCTCAACCATAACCTGAGCTAGGTTAGGCTAAAATATAAGACAAAACTTGGGCCATTCCATGCTTTTCATAGCACAGCAGACATCTGAACCTAGCTTCCCCACAATATCGAACACTGAAATGTAGGATGGGGTTGTGTAATATAATTGAAGGTTCACTGAGTAAACAAACCCAAAAAATACAGAGGTACTCTGAAAAAGCAGTGGCATTGAGGGGTAATCACCTAGGGGCCTTTATAAGAGGGATTTCAAACATGGAAAAGAAAATAGGATGAGCATTTGACCTTTACCTCCAGCAGCAATAATGAAAATCTGTTGGAATTTTCACAGTGGAATCCTATGCTTATTTGTAAGTCCCACTGAATTCAGTGGAGCTTTCCTTCCCCTGACAATTGCAACTTCGGCTGTTGTGTTGTGACCAGTTAAAGACTGCAGTAAACTTTTTAGGAAGGGTTTTTAAGAATACCCTGTAGAATACCCAGGAAGTGAGCAACCAGTTTATATGCTTCGTTCATTTCATTCCACGGAACATAACACAGAATGATTTTAAATCTAGTCCAGGCAATTAAAAGATCTTGTAGAACACCTTGTTCTCTGGAAATGTGAGAATCCTAGAACAGTATTCCATCAAAGTGCCATCTAATGGTACTTTGCATGACTGTAGGGACAATGCTTTAAAGGCTTGGACTATAGTCCTCATTGTGAGGATAGCCTTGGTTTAGCTTTTTAAATTGATTGGCATTGGAAAAAATGGCTAATCTTGAAGGGATGCTCAGGAAGGAATCCCTTGAGAATCTCTTTCCTTACTTAAGTATACTTCCACAAAGTATCATTGCCTGGTGCCATCTAAAAATAACGGCTTTTCTTTTCTGTTGACAAACAAAAACCACAAGGGAAGAAGCAAATGCAGGCCAGAATATTTTTTCAAAAGTGAATTTCTCATTGACAATGAATCTACTTTTTTCATTCAGCCTTTCCTTTCCTTTCCTTTCCTTTCCTTTCCTTTCCTTTCCTTTCCTTTCCATACGGTGTATGTGTGTGTACATAAGAAGACAGGTAGATATGATGTTGTATTAATGTAATGGTTTGCAGGAAGCTACATTAATTGTTGGAAAGGGAATGCCACCATTGGTAATTTGACTGGATAAATATTTTAAATAACATATATGTGCAAATTCATGTTCTTACTATGTGGAGCTGGGCACAAGTACAATCCCTTGCAATCTTTGGTGAATTCCAACTTTCTCAGAGCCATGCACACAAATTTCCATGTGCAGGGCAGAAGCTGGATTGTGTCATTAGTATAAAATTTCCCTTAAACATTCATAACACTAATTGTAAATTGGTATAAGGCACCAGAATTATTATTCCTCTATTAGAGAATGGGGGAAGGGTGCACACTGAAGCTGATTGTAGCCTGCTTAAAGCCACTTCATAAATTTATAGCTAAGCTGACATTTGAACAAGGGACTTCCTGGCACAGAGCACATGCACTACACACCCAGTCTCCATAGATCTAATTAAAATGGGAAAGAAAAACTGAGAGTCTAAAATGGCAGTCAAAAGAAGAATGACATACCTTTATAGCTGGATTTTTATGCAGTTGACTTCTAAAATTTGTAAACTGCACATTTGTAAAAGATGATGATAAATGCACACATGGGTAGGCACATGGTTTGTTTTTAAGTAATTAGATGAAATTGGGTTGGTGAAGGGAAGCTAGGAGAAGGAACGGTCTCTACAAAAAAAGAAAATAGGACTTCAGATAAAATATCTGCCACAAATTAAAACATTTGGCTCCTTATTATACATATATTACATTTCTATGAAAGAGGCAGATTTTACTTAAATTTCTTCTTGCATTTATTGCTTTTAAAGGATACCTTGCTTTGTATTCTTCCTTGTTGTTATTATACATTACATATGTAAGCATACATCATCATCTGAAACAATTGTTGCCAACCCTTGAGCCTAAAGGGATGTGTTAAAAATCTTCCAAAATAAGTGCATAAATAAATTTACTTCCATATCTATGTATCTCCAAGTCTAATGTTTAATATGTCCAGGCATTCATAACTGAAGTTGAGAGTAAATATTTATAAATTTGGGAAAGGTTAGTTTCAGCTAAATCAAGTGGAATACTGTTAGCTTTTCTCAGGTATGCTGTGGTATTCCTGCATTCAAAATATTTAGTTAGTATATCTTCTCTTATGACTTTGAGGTATAACTCTTGATTGTTCCATAAACACAGGTATTTGTACTGTTTCTTGAGTGTTGAAAGAATGTTAGCTAGTTTCACTCTTTTATTTAATATTTGATAAGATAACTAAAACATCTCTTTGCTGTTATATTTAGTATGAATATACCATAGTGGTTAGTTCAAAAAAGTATGGTTTCTAAATGTAGCATTAAATACTAGATTCACTGGTCAGTATACATCCCACTTCTTTAAAACTCTGATGCATAATTAATCCATATAGTTTCATTTGCCAAATATTTTTAAGTTATCTGGTACTACTCACTTCTCCCCACTAAAGCAAATGGGATAGTCTGCTATACGATTACTACAGTAGTGTCAGTTGACACCCAGAACTGCTTATCAGAATGGGAGATTTATTTTTAATTGTATGAACCGGAAGAAGCAGAGGATGTCCCAACAGTTTTCCTTGAGTGATAATGTGATCAGTTATTCCCTATTTCCACTAACATAGGGCTTAAGTCTGCTAATGCTAAAGTATAAGAGAAAAAAACTTTAAT